ATCCATCCATCCATCCATCCATCCTCCCTTCCTCCCACCCACCTACCTATTCCCCTCCATCCCTCCATTTATTCATTCATTCATTCATGCATTCATTCATTCAGTGATAACAAATTGATAGTTGTGTGATGCCGGCGAAACTGAGCAGAGGACAAACGGAGGAAGGTCTGTTATTTTAATTTGTTGTGAAAATTTTTGCTCCAAATAAAAACGTAAATGTCGTGTGCATCCTACAATTACATCAGCTTATCTGCTACAATTACACCAGCTTATCACCTCTGTGCACTATCACTATAATATGACACCTGAATTATCCAGTAATGTTACCAAAAGTTTCACTTATCTTCAGCACCCGAGCTAGGTCGTCATGTGCCAACTACTCGTATCGGGCGAGTTACATATACAGCTGGCATATTGTGGGAATAGTCCAACTTACACTGGTATGTGGAACAGATGTGGCGATTCGGCTGCTGACAGATTTGAATGTAGATATGGCATATTCAGACTTCGTTCGAACGCTGAAGTTACCAATTCATTTTTTTTTTCGTATGTTAAATTTAGAACGACAACAAAGGGAAGGGTCCGAGACCAAGCTTACAAAAAATCGAATTGACTTTGCCTAGAATATGTAAAAGATCGATCTTAGGGTTGCTACCAATATTGTTTCGTCTTCGGCAAAAAAATGACAATATCAGGCGAGATATCAGTTGTTGGTAAAATGAAAACAAGGCATACCGTGAAAATATCTAAATGTGAAAGAAAAATTTAATTTGATTTTATCACACAATTCCCTGATATCAGCGTAATAACAACAGTTATATACATTTATTTCTTATAATCCACGTCTAATATACCCTACTGGAGCTGTGATTGATTGAAACTTCCCACTATCTCCATTGTAACGTCACAACGTCGTAACGTCATGAAGTCACACGTTACTCCATGACAGGTCATATATTCCTTTAGAAATTAATATATTCCGAATCATGTTGAAAAGTGAGAACGATTTTACTTCAAAACGGAATGACATGTATATTTCCCTAGGGAAGCCTTATATCTAACGATAAAAAAACACTGAAATTCACAGAATGCCGAACCCATTTTTTCCCAAATGTTTGTGGTGACCCGGTACAGCGGAAGTATCTATTTGTGGTGTTATTTACGAGCCTATAAAAAGACAACTTTGTCCATCGCCAGAGTTCTGCTGGTTAAATACCACCTTACCTTAAATGTCAGCATATTTAGTACAACACTACTAGTGTAAAAATATCGGCTAGCGAAAGGTCGTGCTATGTTAATGTATCACACGCGCCTATCACGCGCGCTAAAACGCTACATAATTCATCTTCATTTAAAGGTTAAATATCTCTAATACATCTGTAAGTCCTTTCCTTCGAGTATTCATTGACCAGGACGCCACAAAAAGCTTTTTTCAGTGTTAATAAACAGCTTAAATGTGTGGCTGTACACCGTACACTGATTAGGAAAGGTATAAACACATCTGTTTTATTCCAGTGATATCACCGACAAATCTGTAGGACAACATTATCCCACATGTCAATCCGATTACGATAAGATGCGTCTTTATAAGATTATTCCCAATAAAATAGACTGACCTTTTATGACCTCTATAACTATAGCGTAGATTGTGTTTTCACTCGGGTTAATGGTACCGAAAAAATGATAAAGACGACAGAAAACTTTTCAGTAAAGAGTTATTTCCCCTGCCGATTAAATTAAAGCTTTAAATTGGTAGTATAAAAGTTCAGAGCTCAGTTTTTAAAGTTATTATGTTCCTGCTATAGTGCATTTTTTCCCAAAAGAGCTGTTTCCGTGTAAAAAAATAATGCGAGGCGTTTGAAGAGGAATATAGAAAAACACACTATTGAAGAAATACTTTTTCCTGTATTTTATGAAAGTCATACTCTAGCTTTATATGTTGATTGAAGATACGTGAGTGTTGGCGACGATTTGAAATTTCAAAAATGATTTGTTTACTTTGATTACATTGTACACATGTTATGGACTAGGAATTGGCATTATTGCAAGTTTGTTTGCTCTGTGGAATTCCAATAACGCTGACTCTGCGTTCGAAATCTCCGAAAAGTGCAATTATATACCTTCTTTCAACAAATTGATACTATAAAAAGGAAACTTTCATCTTCTCTTTTGAGAGAACTAATTGGATTTTCGAAATGATGAATAATAAAGAAGACTGAATGAATATTAACGTCTTAAATGAAGCAAAAAATCGGGAGTCTCCCTCCAAAATCGGGAGGTTATCAAGTATTTTTGTGTCATACTGGTACATGACTACTGTGGCTAAAGTAAACCGTCATGTAGATCTCCCTATATCTCCTATGTACTAAGTCTATCTGTTACTGACAATACCGAGAATCACACGTACATCTTATCGTATTCTCGACAAAGATGCATGTGCTAATCTGCAACAAAATAACTAAAGAGAGCTTAAGTTGACATTAGAAAAAACCTTATAACACAACCATAATCAATCATCAGTTAAAAAGTATTTGATCTCCGATCATTCCAAGCTGCTGATCCCCAAATTTGGAGTACATTTCAATACCCCAATCTCTCCAGTGTAATTTATTAAACGTATATTAAATATGGCTTTTGTAAGGACCAATGGTATTCTTGAATGTATTTGTGCTCCCGAAGCCGCTGTCGGTTTCATATCTACAATGAGGGCAACAACCACATCCTGTGTGATTAGAAATAAATCACCACACCCATCAATATGAAGATGTTGAAGTGGTGTAGCTTCCTGTGGTTCGTGACAATTTACTTAAAACTACCAAAGTATATCTTTTAAACATTTAGCTCAGACAAATTTATCAATGTATATGGATTAAAACTTCTCACAAACAAATGTTTAATGGTTTCATACCGTACTAGAGAGAAAAGTAACCATGTATCCTACACTACCTCACACCAAACTGTCCATGTTTCCTACCTCACACCAAACTGTCCATGTTTCCTACACTACCTCACACCAAACTGTCCATGTTTCCTACCTCACACCAAACTGTCCATGTTTCCTACCTCACACCAAACTGTCCATGTATCCTACTCTACCTCACACCAAACTGTCCATGTTTCCTACTCTACCTCACACCAAACTGTCCATGTTTCCTACTCTACCTCACACCAAACTGTCCATGTTTCCTACCTCACACCAAACTGTCCATGTTTCCTACTCTACCTCACACCAAACTGTCCATGTTTCCTACCTCACACCAAACTGTCCATGTTTCCTACCTCACACCAAACTGTTCATGTTTCCTACCTCACACCAAACTGTCCATGTTTCCTACCTCACACCAAACTGTCCATGTTTCCTACCTCACACCAAACTGTCCATGTTTCCTACTCTACTTCACACCAAACTGTCCATGTTTCCTACCTCACACCAAACTGTCCATGTTTCCTACCTCACACCAAACTGTCCATGTTTCCTACTCTACCTCACACCAAACTGTCCATGTTTCCAACTCTACCTCACACCAAACTGTCCATGTTTCCTACCTCACACCAAACTGTCCATGTTTCCTACCTCACACCAAACTGTCCATGTTTCCTACCTCACACCAAACTGTCCATGTTTACTACCTCACACCAAACTGTCCATGTTTCCTAACTCACACCAAACTGTCTGTGTTTCCTAATCTACCTCACACCAAACTGTCCATGTTTCCTACTCTACCTCACACCAAACTGTCCGTGTTTCCTACCTCACACCAAACTGTCCATGTTTCCTACCTCACACCAAACTGTCCATGTTTCCTACCTCACACCAAACTGTCCATGTTTCCTACCTCACACCAAACTGTCCATGTTTCCTACTCTACCTCACACCAAACTGTCCATGTTTCCTACCCTACCTCACACCAAACTGTCCATGTTTCCTACCTCACACCAAACTGTCCATGTTTTCTACCCTACCTCACACCAAACTGTCCATGTTTCCTACTCTACCTCACACCAAACTGTCCATGTTTCCTACCTCACACCAAACTGCCCATGTTTCCTACTCTACCTCACACCAAACTGTCCATGTTTCCTACTCTACCTCACACCAAACTGTCCATGTTTCCTACTCTACCTCACACCAAACTGTCCATGTTTCCTACCTCACACCAAACTGTCCATGTTTCCTACTCTACCTCACACCAAACTGTCCATGTTTCCTACCTCACACCAAACTGTCCATGTTTCATACCTCACACCAAACTGTCCATGTTTCCTACTCTACCTCACACCAAACTGTCCATGTTTCCTACTCTACCTCACACCAAACTGTCCATGTTTTTACCTCACACCAAACTCTACCTCACACCAAACTGTCCATGTTTCACACCAAACTACCTACCTCACACCAAACTGTCCATGTTTCCTACCTCACACCAAACTGTCCATGTTTCCTACCTCACACCAAACTGTCCGTGTTTCCTACCTCACACCAAACTGTCCATGTTTCCTACCTCACACCAAACTGTCCATGTTTCCTACCTCACACCAAACTGTCCATGATTCCTACCTCACACCAAACTGTCCATGTTTTCTACTCTATCTCACACCACCAAAGGAGTGTTATACCCATTTCAAGATTTCAAGTACATTGTTGTCTGTTATCTGTCTTTACTAGCTCGATAGAAGTTCGATTTTATTAATGATGTAACATTTTCTGTTCCTTTCAACTTCCTTCCCTCCTTCTCCCTCCCCCTTCCTCCCCTATCCCTCCCCATCTGCCGATCCTCGAACTCTACCAGAACCTATAACAGTGATCACTCTGTTTTCATCGCTTCCATCTCAATCTATATAAGATATATAAAACATTGTCAAAGTCTAGGCGTAAGAAGCTCGACATCCACTGAATACTACAACAATAACATCTTATAATCACGTCTGTTACGATACATCTCATTGTAAACATTTTTAAATTATAAAGTAAACATATAAGAAAATGTAAATACACTTACCCCCTGCTGAACGTAATAGACAATTAAATCCACGAAATAGTTCACACACAGCCCGTGTAGTACCAATAACAGACATGCGGGCTTTTTTCTCGCTGTAGCTATTATACTCGGAGTGTATAGCCCTTTAAAACATTAAACAATGCAGATAATTTCATTTTAAACGCTCCTACTGGCACAGTGGTATCCCACACATAACTTCCACAATGAGTATCAGAAAGATCAAGTTCTCCCTTATTTCCGTTTTAATGAGGCAAAAGACAGGGTTTTTTGTTGTTGTCTTAATTTTTGTACACAGACAATAATCCGGACGAATTGAAACCACGTTGAAGCATTTCCATATACAATAAAAAACAGACTACTAACTATTTTCATTGATATTGATGGTAAATATTAGCAGTAGGTATATAAGAGTAGCGGTCATGGTTGAGTGATAACGGCTGTGTATCACATATCTAGTGTATTGAACGGGTGCATCTACCCGTGTAGAGGAATTTTCACCTGTTAGCGGTCCATGATCGACAAATGACCTGGCCAATAGATAGCCGAGGACAAATACGTAAGAGGAGGTGTCACGCGACAGTGTGCCCCGTAGGTAGGAGCATAATGGAAAGAGATATAGGAGTAGGGCAAAGGGGAGGGGCACTAGGTCAAATGGTAAAACAGGTAGATGAAAAATAAATTACAGCTTTGTAGCTTGTGGGGAGCATAGTGAGTAGACTTTTTATGAAGGAGGGGAACAATTAAAGTTACAGGGTAAGTTATGATAAAGCCTACTAAGCATTTTACCATCATGTAGTATAATTACGGAAAAAAGGAGAAATGTCAAGTCAGTAAGCGAGTTATTTCCCTTTCTAAGATAAAATGAGATACCTTTGGTCCCCTAATTCTTCACCATAACTAAAAAAGGACAAAGTTTCAATGGTCAAATACGTGTGAGGTCTAGCAGTCAACATGATCAGTCTATATCTGTTCGTTAGCGATACAGAATATTTTTCATTTTTTATGCTTAAATCGCAGATATATACACAAAGGATATTAAAGGAGGTTGTGAGAGATGGCCATGAAAAAATATCTATCGATGACCTGCAGTTTCATGGGCCTGGGCGGTATAACACGCAGCATCGGTCATTTCAACAGATGATAAATAGAAATAAATTGGTTCACTAGATTAACACGTCGACAACCGTGAGTATTTGGCCATACATGTCGATATCGGTCCCTTTGATCCCCGGTCACCTGAGATATCACATGTGTTATACAAATATTTGGTCTAAATGCAAGTCTAAAAGTGACGTTTACGATTTCCGAATCTGATCAACACATAAACAGGCCTTACTCTTAAGGTCGTTCACGGGTCCACCAGTGATGAGGGTGCTGGGGATGGCGGGTAACCAGTTTGGGGCAAAAAGGCCAAAACTGTCTCTTGTGAGGACGAAAATAGAGGAATAACCCAAAGAGGAGCGGTGCACCATGGGAAGGGGTAAAGGAATGAGTTGGGACTGAAGAGGGCATAAAGAAAGGGACGGTCCGCTCGGAAGGTTGAAAAGGCGATTAACTGACTGAAGGATGAACTAATAAATGATGACATGACTGAAAATTAGTCTACAACTTGTTTTACATGTACTAAATCATTTATCCTCTATAAATAAAGAATCTGTCATTATTATTAAAGGATGCTATAAGGGAGACCGCAAAGAAAAAAGGGGGCCATTAGGAATGGCGTAACTTATGGAATGGGTGGTCACTGGTAAGGTGGCTAAGAAAGTGTGATCAATAGGGGAATTCAAAGGAAATGGCGAGACTGGAGGAGTGCGAGAAGGAAAAGGCGGGACTGGAGGAGCGCGAGAAGGGAATGCGAGACTGGAGGAGAGCGGAAAAGACGAGACTGGGGAATGCGAGACTGGAGGAGTACGAGAAGGGAAAGGTGAGATTGGATGAGTACGAGAAGGAAGATGCACCGGAGGAGTTCGAGAAGGGATATGCGAGACTTTAGGTGTGCGCAAAGAAGATAACAACCACTGGGAATATCGACAAGGAAGGGACAACAACAGGGGAAGGCGTTAAGGAAGGGGATGGACTAATAAGGGCAGAGGAGGGCGACCATTGGGACGGTGTAAAAGAAATAAGTGGACACGTGTGTGTGTGGGGTGGGGGGGGGGAGAATACTGTGAAAGGACAGGTGACCGCCGAAGACGACGCAAAGGCAGGGGTGATCATTAGGGAGTGGGGGAGGCGAAAAGGAAATGGGGGTACAAAACACGAAGAGGAGGGAGAGATCATTAAAGGGAGGGAAAGGAAGAGACGGTCTCAGGAGGGGACAACGAGAAGGATGCCTGCCTGGGTGACACGGGAAATCTCTGGCGATGTTGTTTACTTTTCTGTTCATGGAAAAGTTATTTGCATTCTATATTTATTCTTGTATATGAGCCTGACGCCTTTCTGCTGTTGTTACTTATCACGATTTTTGTCATTTCTGGATATCTCTAATAATAGGTTTGTTGTGATCATACCTCTTCAAAGCTCATGTTTGTTTCTACATATATAAATCAAAATATTTTTTCTAGTGTGTGCTAGAAACTTTGTAACAATATTTCAAACACTGAACAAATTAATGCGACACGCGCTCACAATACACCCTTATATTTACATCCTGAAACCATCCACTGTGTTGTCGAGGGTACATAAGTATATAAAGGTATCACATAGAGAAATTCACTCTAGCGTAATTCATTTATGCAGAGCATGCACAATTTTACACGAGTTCAGATCACATGACCCATTATGGTTTATTACGGTTTCGGTAGAATAACTGCGAGGCGTGTGTGTAGGAATGTATGTTTGTCAAAAGGAGGAGAATTATCTCGTCTATATATTCATTAGAGAAAAACGACTTTGGAAGAAATGTTGTTATGATGGAATGGGGATCCGAAAGCGATGTCGCACCCTCCCCTCAATGAATTCGAGTTAATTTACTTACCGTTAAACAACCTTCTGGAGTAATCCACACTTCAAAATGTTCCACAGATGGCCAAACATCCACAGTGAAAAGTTGTGTTGTTGGTTTGAGCAGGGGTATACTTTTCCATAACGAATAAATCCTACAGAAACATGCGAAAATCAAGCACAGCTCCCACATACAAAGTGTAATTCCATAGAATTGTCTAACTCCTCGTCCATCTTCCAATCTCTCTAAGACAAGTATGTACAGATCAGATAGTCATTAATCCGATACAGCTTCATATATCAGAAACACACGTATCTAACAGGTATTATATCTAATAGTTATGTAGCCCAGGTGTTTAAATATCTACTGCAGTAGTATTGTCTAGCACCATAAATTCATTCCACCAGGGCTAATTAAACCACCACAGACCTACAGATAGCGACACATTCGGACATGCACCGTTCACCAGAACGTCTACAATATCGTTCCGTTTCCTTATTTTTGTTACACGCTGTGAACATTAATCAGAGAATTAAAGGGCGGTGACCTATCGAAGCGTTGTCAGCTTACAACCTACATACCTAACATGTGGACACTTTTATACATATATAGGAGTAAACTCAAATCGCCTTATACAGACGGCGCTCGTCCGAGAAAGCACTGTCATCTCAAATTATAGCAAGTATGAGAAAATGCATTATGTGCAGTTATAGCATTCGAATGAGGTCAACACATTGATTTATCAACCTAGGACATTATCATGTTAACCGAGACGACGGTATCACAGAGACTAGACCATAGAAGTATATTATGACAATAATTGGTTGGACCAGTTCATTTGAAGCAGTATCATCTTGTAAAGACCGATTACTCTGGGTCTAGAATAACATCAGATGTGTAGGTGTTTGCCATTTCATCTTTTTTATAAAAGGCAATCGACTCGGTCTAAGATCTAAACAAGTTATATATCTGTTCTTCTTTATTAAACAAATTAAAAATTTGCTTCCAATTCATAAACAGTTCGTCGACATAAAACTATGTACTACAATTTTTCACTCAACGTCGTGCTTCAGATCGCTCTAAGTTTGAAGTTCAGCGAAGTTATTCTTACATAACTTGCTTCAAGTAGAGGTCGTTCATATTTATTACAATTTGATTTGCAATAATATGTGTCTATTTACCGAGTGGAGGTAGAATGGTGACCAGTATGATCTTGAATTTATCTGCTTTTTGTTCTGTGTTAGCCAGTCAATATTTGCTCCACTCTAGCTAGAGGGCTAATGTCGTGTCTATCCTCAAATTTCACAATAGAACCGGATTAACCATATTTAAATGACTTGTGATTTGGAAACAGTAGCTAAATTTAAAGGGATACTTTATTTGAACGATTCAAGACAATATGTATTATTAAAGATCTTTTCTAACATCAATGACTAAACATAACGCACTGTATCGACTAGAGACAGGAGGATATCACGTTGGAATAGGGGTGTTAACTAGTGGCGTTGTGGTGATTTAAATATTATAGTAATTGAAAAAAATCTATTTTAAAAAATATGTATCTAAAGGACTTATAATCAACTGTATGACCTGGAACATTTATCTATACAATGTCTATCCCAGATATAAGTAATTTTCTTTGACCGACTTTTTGTCCTCGCGCCACGAATAACAAAAGTAAAGTTGGTAATTAATTAAAGGAAACAGTAATGTACCAGTAATTCCCTTAAAAAAACTCCAGTACAAAACGGCATGGAAATATATGTAAAAAGTGAAGTGACTTAATACTTCAACTCTCTGGTAAGTATTTTTCCCTGTTTCAAATATGTTTTTTTTTAAATTATCATACTGGTGATAATAATGAGAGTTCTGTTATTTTTCAAAATATTTTCGTCCATTTAAAATACAACTCGTGATAGTGTGCTTCCCTTGTTGTATAGACTGGTATATTGGCTTTATCTTAGCTATGTTGAAATAATTTAGAAATTCTGATCTGTCTTCAATGTTAATGGTATTTCAGGCGATGTTATGTATTGGGAGTCTACATGGTGGTAGATTTCGTGACGTATCAAACGAATATACATCAAACCATACGAGGTGGTGTCAACTGTAGCTACCACCAATAGGGTAGCTCTTCAACACCT